TTTTCTATTGTGATGTTAAGGCGGGCTTCCATTGCGCATGATTCTCAGACACAATGGAAGCCCGCCTTTAAAGAAATGTTTGCCGGTAGGCGAGGCAGATTATCCCACCACGGGCCTATTGCATCGTATTGACGTAGTTATCCGACTTAACAAAAATTAATAATAATACTCTAAAAAATTTGCCATCACGCGAGTTTGACAGCTGTCAATTTGACTGTCAAAGTTTTTGGAATTGCAATAAATGGTTTGATTTTGAATTGCTAATGTATCTATGCATGCAGTCGTTAATTTTATATGCGTTCTTTAATTGAAATCCAAAGAAGGTAGTCATTTTTTATTTTGAGAAATTAAATTGATTTTGTTTTTTTTTGATCACTCGATGCTTCCGTCGTCATCATCTTCACCGCCATAATCATAACAATTTTTGATATCATCACCGTCATTTTCGCCTTTCATCATCACCGTCAATCATCAAATCACTCCATTTTGACGTAGCATCGACTGACAAAATGTCAATCCATATTAAAAAAAAAAAATTAATAATCCATCTAAAAAATATCTTATTTTTCGAAATTATTTTTAGTCAAACCTCTTTGGGATATCAATTAAAAGTATTCACATAAACTGCCCACTGTTTTTAATTTCTGATTTTTTTCTTTTTAGGCATTTTAAATAAATTTGCGTTGACGTGTGGAAGGTCTGTTAGGCATTAAAATCTACAAGCCCAATTAAATTTGTTTTAAAAGTACAAAATCCTTTCTATTATTAATGAGTTAAAAATATATTTGCATGGAAAAATATACACAAATTAAATTAAGAGTTTTGAAAACTTACAATGACATTTGAAAAAAATAATTTAGTATTTTATTTAATTTATTATACGGACTACGATATGTATTTAATTTATTTATTAATTTTATGTATAATTTTAATTTTTTTTTAATATTTATTAATTGGTATTTATGTTTATTCATTACTAAAGATATAAATCTTTTATTCCGTGACGTTTATCATATTTATTAATATGGTATATGAAATGCTTTTATTACTATTTTTTTGTCCCACATTTAAATTAAAAATATCCCCAAAAAATCTTTTTTTGGAACATTTGTCAATTTTAAAAAATCATCACCTACTATGAAAATATACCAAAGGTTTACGACAAATGTCAAGAAGAAAAATATATGAATTAGACAATTTTTTAATACTTTTCAGTTTATGGTATTCATTTCAAAGTATAAGTTTAAATAATTTTAAACGATTTTCTTTCATATAGATATGACGATAAGATTTATTTTAATTATTTCTTTGTTTGCAATTGGAGAAATAACTAGGGGATTCTATTTATCATGTGAATTGTCCATGTCCGTTTTAAGACTAAAGTAACCCGCGTACAGTAACGTCCAGTAACTTATATAAGTAAGCATACGTCACTATACGGTACTGCGTTTGAACTATTCGGCAATCTTCAATGGGCTTAAGATTTTAATACGGAAAGGTTATGTAAGTTAGGTGTAGGCTAGGCTAGGAGCGATGTCGGAAAGAGATTGCAATTGCAATGGAAATTTTTGAAAAATTAAAAAAAAATGTTAGAGGGGTAACGTTTCATAGTAGAGTGCGTATGGGGGAAGTCTATCCGCCATTTTGTGACGTTGGAAACAAAATGGCGATGGGTTTCTTTACGTAAAATTTGGCGGTTTTTTTTGTCTCGCTGACGTACTCTACTTTGAACTAAGTTTGGGATCGTTTAGGCTTTGTATTGTAAGTTTTTTGGGTTAAGGCTGTCCAGTCACACGATTGCTTCCATGTTTTAAAACGCTTTTTTATCTAAATTAAATTCTTGGATTATTCCCAACCGTCACCCCGCCCTGTCCCCAAGTGGAGACAGATGATAATAAAATGTTTCATCTGTCCCACCTTTTGCGACGAGGGGACGGTTGGAACTTATTTTATTTCATAGCGGTTCCGCCTGTCACCTTATTGGTGATAGTGCAAATAAAAAGTGGGACGGATGAAACTTTATTCTCACGTGGGGACAGCCGGGTGACGGTTGGGGATAATCCAAATTCTTGAATTTTGTAACTCGTTTCTCATATTTAGCTTGTAATTTAGTTTTTTAATGCTTTCGAAATTCAAAATTAATTGTAAATTTTAAGTTTATTTTATTCGGTTATCGCGTTTCTATGTTTGGATTGTTTGTTTTTAACGGATCTAATGTAAACCGCTAATGCTGTTGGGTTCCAGCACAGTTCTATCAAATTCTAGACGAGTCGAATACTATCATTCTAAATGTCAGTTTAATTGAGAAAAAATGTAGCTATCGGTTTCACGCCTGTACCCCTCCACCCCTTTCATCAAAGGTTTAGCTTTAAAGATTGTTGTTTGCCTTAAAAAATGTGATCTTATGACGATTGTAAAGATGTCGCAGGTTGTGGCGGTCGCGGGTGGATCGATTTGGTTCGGAGTTTATTTTCTTGGTAGTTTGTAGTTTTGTCCCCGCGGCCGTCAGCATGTATGCCTTGTTATTGTAACAAATTGAATGTAATGTAAGATTTGACAATGTGCGGTGTTACGATAGGCTCAGTGGATACTGTTGGTCAATTGGATACATTTAGCGAGGGCGAGGGCTCTATTGGTCGATGTGCTTCCACTGACAGGAGTGGATGCGGCTGGTATGGTATTTTTTTTTATTTGTAACGTGCATTTCGTTACAATCCCTCTAATCGATGTATCCTAGTGTAATTTTCAATGTCTGAACTACTAGTTTCATCTCCGGTGCCCTATGTTTGAACCAATAAAGCCCTAAACCGCTATAAAGTTTTTTTAATGAATCGTAAGAGAAATCCTTAGTTCCACAATAATTAAAAATATGTAAATTTTTTCTTATCTTAGTAAGTAAAAGATCTCATATGTCATATTTTTTTTTGTTTTGTCTTTTTTTATATTTTTGAGGAACTCCGGAATAGTTGCGTTGAGTTAAAGACAACCTATGTAAAATAAAATATATTGATGTATATAAAACTCTGTTTTATTTATAACCAAAACAATTGACTACATCGTAAATTATACAAAATTAAAAAAATAAAGATATTACATTGTTTGTATGGTAAATAATTGGAAAAAAATTGAGCATTTTTCTTTAATAGTCCTCATTATGAAATACGTCCATTTTAGTCGCTTTAGTCTTGTTTTTTTCCATTATTTTTTTTAATTATTCTACTTAAAGATTGTAACTTTAAAAATATTTTTCATTTTAATTTTATCACCATTTGACCTTCAGCCTTAAGATAAAAGAATATAAAGAGAATTTAATTCTAAAATATCGAAAATAGCAATGGTCCTTTCTGAGCCGTAATACGATCATATTTTAAGAATGTCGTTGGTCTTGAGTCTATCCTTCAAGAGGTTCAGTGCGTGGCTGTGCGTGAGGCGATGTCCACGTGAACACTGCTCCGGGCTGACGCAGCGGCCGTCGGTATGCCGGCGCAAGCCGAGCCGGCAGTGACAGCCGAGCACACAACGCCGGCCGCGCGCCACGCACGTACGGTTATCGCAACGAGGCTCGCAACCATACCGGCACACGTACTCCTCGCTAGGGTCTAGACAACTATCTGATAAACAAGAAATTGTGTTTAAAGGAATACTGAGAGATGTAGATGTCACCAAATGAAGGCAGCCTTTAGAGAATCGAAAGTTGTAAAGTAGATGTAAAGAATACTTCAAAAAGACCTAAATAATAGCTGCCTGCTCCTAGACGACGCCTATGCTATCCAAGCGCAATTTAAGTCACTAACTGTTGCTCGCGACTTCGTTCGCGTGATATTAATAATAACAAAAAATAGTCTATGGTACTGGTAACGTAGTCATGGTGAAAGAATATTTGAAATCGGCCGAATAGTTTTTGAGTTATCTCAATACGTACAAAAATACAAATGTTTCCTCTATATTATTAGTATAGGTAAGTTCAATAAAAAAAGGTACAGAATTTAACAAAAGAATAGTAAAAGAGTTGAGAACGAACACCCAGTTATGGAACAGTCAAGTACTTCTACTATGGCTCAAAATTGGATCATCAAGGAAGCTTGTAAATCATTCACTTTATAGATATGTGCTTACGCAGCAAGCAATCAGTCTCTCGCACGCACTGTCCGCTATAGTGTCGCAACAGCGGCGGGCGG